CTTTCCCTCTCTCCTTGTGGCTTTTCTTACTGTCTGAACTCATTTCACTCCTTGTCCTCTGGCTTTCTTGAAGGCTTGCCTTCTGCATCAGGGGCACCGGTGGAAACAGCTCTTCCTGAAGTGGCTGCTCTACCGTGGAGACAAAAGATTGCTCTGAAGAACTCGTGCTTCTTTTGCCATGTCCTTCATGCCCAGTTACCACCATATTGTTTTGGATGTCACTGTAAGGTACATCCTCTGCTGGTGAGAGTTGGTTTGGGAGCGTTTTGAAGACAAACTCTTCCTTCTGATTGGCAGCCTGTCCTTCATTTTCCTCACCCTGGACACGGACACTGGGATTTTGCACAGGTTGCCCAGCTGTTGTACCTGCATTGTCTCTAGTGAATTGTTTCAATGCTGGATACTGCAGACGTTTCCTTAAATCAGGTTCATTTGATTCATGTCTGAACAAGGCGACGTTTTCATTACCCCTTGTGTTTTTAACCAGACTTTCGCATTTTGAATCGTCTTGCTGCAAGTTGTCTCCAGTTTGGTAAAATAAAAGGTCTGCTGTGGTCTGGGGTGAACTCAAAGTCAGGTAATTGTCTGTAAAGTGTCCAGTTAGATCAGTTTTACTGTCCTTTTCGGGTACACTGCCAGACAATACAGAGGTTATATCACTTGATTCATCTTTCTCGGCAACATTTTTGTTACTTTTTTCTTGTAAAGTCGAGAACGAGGCATTCATTTTTGTACTCTCCTGTATATTTTCCCTAGTTTTATTTTTCTCCTCCAAGGCCCTTAACAGGGGAGAAGGGGTATAAATGCTTTTAACACGTTTACGCACATCCTTCAAATTGAATAACAGACTCGATGCTTTCGATTTGTAACTATCCCGAGACCTGTAATCGCTAAACACGCTCCCCTCGTGGTCTCTTGCTGCTGCGCTCTCAGTGGGAGGAGGTGTCAGCGGGACCAGCTCACTTTCCATAGGGTCTACCTCCTGTTTTGGTGGTATGATGGGTGTTAAGAGTTCGGTGATGTTGAAAGAGGGGCTATTCAAACCAGGGGAGTTTACCTCTTTAGTCAGAGGACTCACATCCAGACCAGGTTCAGCACCAATTGCCTTTTCAGACAATGAAACCATCTCATCGCTGGCTGTGAACTGCTCCTTTGAAGTCTGTCTCCTCTCTGCTGCCCCTTTTGTAGCCCTCTGTCTCCTCCAGGGTGGACCTGTACTGCCCAGTTGGGGACTGAGGACGTCCTCTTCAGTTAAGGTGGCCAGGGGTCTCGGTGGAGGTGGGCTGGGTGCCTGGGACATAGGTGAGTGTGAAATCATCCTGTAGGATGCGGACTGGGGTGAGACGGAGACTTGGGACATGGCAGAGGGGGAAAGCTGAGCTGGCATTGGGGGTGGTGGCACAGGAGGGGCTTCAGGGATGCAGGGTGTTGAGGGATGGCCCTGCTGGGTAGGGGGTGGAAGAGGAAGTGCCTGTGGGAGAGTGGGTGGCCGAGGAGGACCCTGGTGCACATGGATCCTAGGGGGAGGTGTGGGTGGAAGAGCAGCAAGAAGTTCAGTTTCTGAAGGGAGGGGGCCCTGAGGTACACATACAGCTGGGAGAGGGATGCTGAAAGCAGCTTCTGATGAAGTTGGCTCCATCTGAAGATCTTTCTCCTGCTTCTTAGCAACAGTGGTTTTGACAGGTGGCAGTTTATGTTCATGTGTGGGGGTTCCTTTAATAAATGGTTCTTCTTCCAGGTATGTAAGACCTTCCTTTTTCATTTTCACATCAACAAATTCCTCCTTTTCAGTCAGTTTTTTGTGATGAACATTCCATGATTCAAAAGCACTGTTCTCACTGTGAAGAAAATTACCTTTTTTTGCTGGCTCATTAACTTTCATACTTCTGTTTTTTAAAGCCTTTTTAGAAGAACGAGAAAAATTCGACTTGGCTACTTTTGACATCTCAATCAGCACAGGATAATAACCACCAGAGCCACAATAACTCAGGTCTATTTTATTAGGTCTTCTCTGTGGCTCATGCTTGCCTCTGAGAGAGTGGCTACCTTGACTAGCCTCAGAAAATTCAGAAAGTTCCTTGTGGATGCTTAAAATGCCTGTGTCACCCCAGCAAGCCATATCATTTCCATGATTTAATTTATATTTTTGAAAGCTATTCTTAATAGGCTGCTTAATGGCTATCAGGGAACCTCCTGACCCTTGGTTTGCAGTCTTATCAAATGTCTTAATCAACGAGGACACTTTTGAAACATGTTTATTGTTCCTTGGACTAGGTACTGGCAAATTCAGCTTTTTCCTTTCAGTGGCAAAGGTGTTATTTTTAGCAATCCTTTTCTCCTCCGGAGCACACTTTGGTAACTGCTGGAATGTGGAAGCCCATATTGTATGTTCATTGTTTCTTGCTGTTAGCTTGTTACAGACATTGCTTTTCTTGATGGTGTGATTTAACGTCCCTGGGTGAAATTTAGCAGACAACTGGAGGGTAAAGTCAGGTGAAATGGCAAGATCCGGTTCATTGTAAGAGTCTTCAAGCTCTGCCACACACAAACTTTTGAAGGCTCGGTCTGTGAGGCTGCTCACCTCTCTGTCCGTGTCATCCAGTAGACTCCCAATACTTGAGGAGTCACTATGTCCTTCTGTATGTTTCTTATTTCCCTGCATTGTTCATGGGAGTCATGAATGACTTATCCAAAGGATTAATTTCAGGTGTCAAATAGGTAGATGACTGTGTGGTGTGGTTCCAGCTGTTTGCAATTCACAAACACAAAGCAGTTCCTCCAGATGATGCTACTGCATATCAATTCATCTTACGGAATAGTTGAAGGAAAATTTCTTCTCTGCAAAGCCAAAAATTATACGTTATCATTTTTCGATATTAACACTATTAGACAAAGAGCATTTTCCAGATATATCAGTCACTGACTAATTTGCTCCTACATGTATTCTAAACAAGATGCTAGCAACACAATAAACAACATGAAAAAGAATTGTTGCTTTGGTCAATTCAAGTAGCTTATTGTAGATAGTTTAATTTCTGGAAAGCGCCAATAAAAAAAAGTGGTTCCACCTCAGATTCTTTACTTGGGCTCTTAAACCAGGTTATACGAGCTAAATTTCAAGTACTCCCCTTTCTCTACCTCCAATGATAAACACTTCCAAGTGCTATGCATGTATTTAGCTAAGAAGGTTAGCCATTTTTCAGCCAGGAAGAATTAGTAATAAAAAGGGAAAAAACTTAAAAAAAGAATGTCACTGGGCATATCAATTGCACGCTATGTCCAAAATGAAAGAAAAGTTGACAAAACTTACTTGGCAAGGCATTATAATTATAATTTAAAATATTTTGTGAAAAACAAAGTTATTACAGAGGATTCTATTCCCACTCATCTGTTAGCTCAAGACTGTGGAAAATGAAGTCTGTAGAGATGAACCTGCTTGTATTGGGCTGGAGCTTTGCTGTGACAATTACCCTGAGCAGAACCCTTGTCCGAGAAAGCAGAATGGCACCACAGGTAAAGAGAATTTACTGTGCATTAGCATGTTCCAAGCAAATATTGCTGGGGTAAAATCCATCAGCCACCCATATCCAGATACGGTTGGGTTGGTATATTGAAACTAAAGAGGCTGCTAATATCAGCTTAACCAGCAGAAGGCAGGAGTGCCTAGGGGACTCTCGCAGACCCACTAAAGAAGCACAGGAAGCATTTGGTTTCAATTCCAGAACTGCTGAGAGCAAAAGGTAACCCATTCAACACAATTCTAAAATATCACCGCCTTCCATTAATCCCCGATTACGATGCACAGTCAAGGCCCACAGCATTGTGGGTTTTGTCTATCTCCACGTCAGTCTGAAGACAGGATGGGGGAATCTTTGGATGGAACAAGTATAAGCAAAATAGACCTTTCAGCTATACTTGAAATCTAGACACCAAAACTCTTTAAAGTTTAGTCTGCAAACTCTTTAGATACTTATTCTCACATTCAAGGGCTTGAGCAGGGTATTGTCTAAACTACAGTGAGACTTATTTCAAAAGTATATGCAAGAGCTAGGTAAAAGTGCTTTTAGACTCCTTAAAGAAAGTCTGATCTATATCTCCATTTCCCAGTACAATTGCATCATTAACTTCTGATGAGCTGAAACATGACTGTTCATATCTACAGCAGCTTCCAGCTTCTATACAAGTGGAAGCTGTCTCCACCTCAAGCTTAGATCCACTGTAGAACTGAGCAATGAAATTCAGATCCAGATTTCAGCCCCTCCAGCTGTCCAAATCCATGATTCCACTTTGGCCCAGCGCAGTGAGACTCTTGGAAAGGGCACATTTTTCCCTATGACAACTCAGTGCTGGTCAAAGTATGAAAAGTCCGAGGAACTGGGCTTTATCAGCTGAGTTACTCAGGCTCAGTTGTTTCTTCAAATGAAAACACTCCTCACCCTCCTTTTCTATTTAAAAAAACCCTCAGCCAACCTATTTTTAGGCACAAAGTATCACAGTGAATCTTGATTCTGCCCTTCCAGCCATACAATTCCAATGACTTATGCAGAACTACAGTAGATTTACACTAGAAATAAGATGAGTTTGATAGAGCTTCTCCATTTTACTTTGTACAAAGATTTTTCAAAAGTGAGTTTCACTCCCCCCACTGCACAAACAGTTTTGTGTATAATGCAGCAAGAAAAAAAGAGAAGACAAATCAAAGGTCACCCCACTTTTGGTTTTGATTCTTAACTGTTATATGAGTGGGAAGTACAGGTACATACCTGCCATGTAATTTTGCTTCTCATCTTTAGAACTCCCTCTCATGCTTGTATTTGGCTCCATTTCTGATCATCTTTAGTGAGGAGGTAGAAATAGTCCAGTGATGTAGATTCGACAGAAGTAGTGTCCCGGGATCTTTCCAACTGTCAGCATTTTTTGATCTTGAGTGAATTCTGCAATTTGAAAACAGACATTTGTTTGCATGATCTGAAGATTGTCTTGTGCTGCATTCATTCATTTATTTGTTCATTCACATTTTACAAACATTTTACGAGTGATTTACAGGATTTCGTACCAGAAGAGACAGGTATCCATCCCAGAGTGATAATAACCCAGATACCTTGAGCTTTTGGTAGCTTGTGGAGTGCAGTCAGGTTCCTAGCAAACAACTGTCACAACCTCCAGCACTCTGGTAGCCCCAGCCGGGACTAACAGCTGAGTGAGCAATGGTTTCCTGGCAGTCTGCCCACTGCAAAGGCTGGGTGATGTCTCCAGGCTAAAAAGAGAGGTTGTGCCAGATGACTTCTTCCCTGCTGCTGTCTACATCCCTGGTGTACCACGCTTTCTGAGGGACTGCGGAAAATGTGTGCCTCCACTCCTGTATATGACTTCTACTGCCAACAAGTATAGATGGGCATCAGTCTGGTGGACTGGAAACTAATGCAGCTGAGGTTCGAAAGTCCATCCTTTTCACTGTCCCTGTTATAAAGGAGAGGAAAAGTGGACAGCTGGGGTGGTGACAGGCAGTAAACAAGACATCTTTTTGCTTCCATGCATGAACTAGAGTCAGGAGGTGCTAAAGGAAAGCTCAGCTATGGTGAATATGCCTTGCTGTTGTCCTTCTGCTATGGAGACCCCCGAGGTACAGGCTAGTGTACTTAATCTTTGCAAGAGGATACCCATTCCTACAACAAGAACTGTCTGGCTCTGAGGTGATGTAAATAGCACATATGTGCAGATACAGTAGATTTTCATAAAGTACAGGTCTAAGCAAGGAAGCTTTTGCGTCAGCCTATGGTATTCAAAACACACTGGCAAAAGTGGCAACAAGGGCTCACCCACTGGGACGGTCTCCTACACTTACCTGAGGAAGGACAGTTGTCAGCGTTAGTTTAGGGGCAAGCCTGTACCAATCAGAGCTTTTTGTGGTCCATTTAAGACGTCTGAGTTAAAAAAAAAAAAAAAATAAAGCAAAGAAAAAAACCTCAATGCTATGTCTGGTTGCAGCCAGATGTAAAAGGGCATCCTCACTGCAGAGATGTGTACTCAGCTATCTCTTTGCTCAGAGCTTGAATTGCAATTTTACTGCTTCTGTGGTACTCTTAACTCTGCAAAGCCAACACAGATGTGGGAGATTGTGGTTATGTTCTGGCTCACTCATCAACAGGGCTGTTGACTAAATTCCAGTGGCACAATGTTTATCACTATTTAGTGGTGGTGGTGGTGCCTGATCTTGGCTTTCAGATCTCATGGACAGAGGTCTGAAGAAACATCTTGTCCCTTGTAAACTGAGAACATTTGCTGAAAAGTGAGTAGGGTAACAATAAACATGGAGATCATGATGTAATCTCAGCACTTATTTTCCTAGATGGAGTCACTGTTACAAAAACAACTCAACACCACTGATTAAAAAAAGAATAGCGACTGTCACTGTCTCTGAAACCCTCGTGAAGATCCTGGCCTTGCCTGCCCATAATACTAGTACTTGGGCAGTGTAATGTTTCAAGCTGGAAAAGCTGTATCTCCACTAAGTGTTCAAGGTGCAGATCACTACTGAAACTGGATGGAAACAGCAGCACTGTACTGATTTAGCTATCCCTTGTGTAGGTATGATGGCAATTTTGGAACTTTGGGCAAAGAAGCTGTTCATGGCTGGTTTAATAAACTGGTAAAGTACCATTTCTTTACCATTTTGGACAACCATGGCAGCCAGCAAGCAAGGTGTAGTGTTTGAGCTTAGGTCAGGATTCAGCTAGTCCAAACATTTAAGGATGTCTGAATTTAGCCTATTTTCAAGACAGAGGAAAGCAATGCTGGGCATTTGGAACTACTTGGCAAATGCTGAGAAACATGTGAGGTGTTTGCAGTAGGCATCATCTGATATGAGCTACCGAAAAAGCTTGCATGAATGTACAGATTTCAAGGAGCTTAATCAAAAACCAACCTCCCCTCTCTTTTAAATAGGAGGCTTTTTTCAGTGGCTCTCTTAAGTGCCTAGCAAGTTGTGATGAGGAGATTAAATTACAGAGACTATTCCTGGCCTGGCACAGACTGAATGTCAACTTTTTTCACCAGACAGGAGGTGGGCAAACCAGCAAACTTGGCTGGAGTGTGTGACATCACTGCTGCTGCAATATATAAAGGGTCGGTTGGTTTCCCCACCCCCCCTTGGGCTGGTATTTGGCTGAAATGTTGTGCCATGAGACATCGCGGTGGCATTTTGGCAGCGCCCTTGGGAGTTGCATAGCAATCTGAAGTCAGCAGCACTGCATTCCCCTTGTGGATGGGAAGAGAAGGGAGAAGGACAGAAGGTTTATTATTTTCAAAAAATCTTTGTGAGCTTGTTTCTTCATGTGGTGCTCTCTATATGGCATCCATCCAGAGCTCTAGCCCAAAACTCAGAGCCCTGTGGTGACTGCTGGCTGAGGTTTATTCAGAGGTGTGCTCTACTTGCACACATGCTGCTGCTTTGGGCTTCCAGAGGTTCATCATGACAACAAATAGTTAGTGCTTCTAACCATAGGAAATAGGAGAATCCCTAATGAATTGGTCAATTTTTTGCATAGCTGCATGTTGGTCCATGGCACACATAGGAACTCATAATCAGATGAGAGGACTGGATGGAAACAGACCTGTTCAGCTACGTGTCATCAGGCTGAGACAACGCTCCAAGCCGATGGC